ATGTATTGTTACAATTATAATAATTATTTATTTCATTCCTGATTGAATCCCTGGACTGATATTGAGATGCAGCTCGTACACGGTGCTGCTGTATTTCTGTGAATTGCCGTATTTCCTCCCTGATGAAAAATGATTGCAAAAGAGTATTCCCCCAAAATGGTGTGCGACCGGTAATTTTTATTTTTCATTACCCCTTTACAGTATTGCTCCCCTCTGTCCTTTTTCATACATCACCTCCTTACTGTGGCTCCAAAACAATGTTCTACAGCCAACACAAAGGTATCATGGCGGAGCACAGGAGTTCACTCGCTTTTCAAGTCAATAAATGTAACCCAAGTCACATAATGATACATCCAGAACACGACCTACCTTTGGCTCCTTGGTTGGCGTCTCAGCCTTGGTGCCGGGAACAACTTTAAAAGTAATAGCTCCCTGTGACTGGGCCTGAAAATCGGGGAAGACAGGACACACACAGCCAGTTTGGTGAAGACGGAGTAACAGTCATGTACAGGTGTAGTTATTTCCCAAAAGCACATATATACACAGAGAAGTTTGAATGAGGTCACGAGGCCTTACCAGAATCCGAATGATTTCCTCTGGTTTCTTGTCGTCTGTGGGTATTCCATTGACCTCCTTCAGTTCATCCCCAGCATGAATCAGTCCTACCAAACAAGACAATCAGACAGTTTTACAATCACACTGACTACTAATTACTAATTACTAATAATACAGATCTGCTGTGGAAAGGCTCTCTTAAAGATGGTGTACCAACATAACCAGGTATTGATATTTTCATGTTAGTATTTTAAACATTATTGTCATCACATGTTGATTTCTTTTTTCTTTATTATCTTCAGTCAGACTGCGTAAGTTGGACGTGACGACTACAACATCAAACAGAAGATTCTCGTTGAAGCAGAAACCTACATTCCCCCGGGCACCGCCTCTGAATGCATTCCTCCACTGTTTCATGTTAGAGGTAATTTAGTTGTAGCATAAATCATGCTCACACTTGACTTCAAACTGCACCGTCACATGGCTGCAGCATGTTAGAATAAAGACAGGTTGAAGCTCACCACTTCTGTCGGCCGCTCCTCCTCTCATGATCCGGGCCACGAGAATGGCACCCGTGTGGTCGTCCCGCATTATTGTTGCACCCTGCAAAAAAAAAAAAGAAAAAATGTTTTTTTTTAAGAGAAAAAAAATCTATAATATATATATATATAAATATATATATATATATACACATGTAAAAATATACACATACATATGTTCACATATATACATTTTAAATATTGTACTTACTAATACTTACTAGGGGCAGCCAAAACAAACAAGGTTAAAGTTAGTTTTATTTTTTTAAAGGCAACATATTTTGTTGCAAAGTGAGGATCACACGATTGGTCATTGGTAAATAAGAAAAACAATAGTTTTCAAACAGAAATACAAGCATCTGTTTTATACCCCCGGTGGAAGAAATGCCAAAATGTCAGCATTGAAACTCAAATATTTAATACCAGAAAATGAAATTCTCATATTTCCTCTGCAGTATATGGTAGGTTAAATGGGTAGCATCACATCCCCGCCCCGCCACAAACACCACTGAGGCCCAGGCCTGGCTCTGATTCAAAATGTAACAGCAGTGCAGAGTGCAACTTGGATGTGAATGTCTCTCCTGCCCAGGCCCAGGGACCAGACCCAGACGGATTCGATGTCTTGCCGACACACAGATAGCCAAGGATGAAACTCATCCCTCCCTCTTCGCCTAACTGCTATTCCCATCATCCCCAAAGATTGTTTTTATTTCTGTGACAAAAAAAAAGAGAACCGGGTAGGACTCTTACTCACCAGGCTCATGCTTTATTTCACCTGTCCAAACCTATATACGTCCAGGTCAAACACAGGAGTGCAACAACATGGACCTCTGCTGTCTGATATCCTCCTTGTTTGCTTTGCTCTGACAGACCTGAAGCAGTTCTGGCTACTAGCAGTGATGGGAAGCCCGAGTGGAGATATCAAACGAACCTCCTCAAAGACAAAAGGAGTCTCTGGTTTGTGCCACTTCTGCGGCCCATTAGCACGTCACCTTGGTTGTTTTCACGACCCAGTCGCACCTAATGGTTTTCCTCCTTGATAATGGTTTCCTCAAGGCCTTTGAAGTGGGAGTGACGCATAAAGGTGGGAAAGACATCAGGGTGAGACAATGGTGTCGGTGACATAATAGTATAATTGAGGTAATTAAAAAGATGGGCTAGTGTACAGTAGGAGAGAAATTAGTGGAGCGGGTCAGGAAGAGGGGAAGGAACCTCAGCGTCAGGGTCACATAGAAACCCCGCGGTGTGACTGTCTGTGATGCTCTGCCCCCGGACAGACAAAAACAGAACTCTTAAAGAGGAATAGAGTGCAGTCGGGAAAGAGACAGACGGTGACAGACAACAGGATGAGATGCAGGAAATCTTACAGGAGGTTTTCAGACATGCAATCATTAATGTTGTCTCTATTTTTTCCCCCATTTTCTTTGCATTGGCCACTGGCCAGCAGTATGATAGATGACTTCTTTATTATGTACTCACGGGTCCCCAGTGGCGTGTGACAGTGAAAAGGCTAACCAAACAGCAGAGAGCCGGCCTTGGCCTGAGGAGTCTGAAAAGACAATGGGCTGCACAAACTCAGCAGACCCGCTCCCCGCACATGTCTACGGCTATCTGTGGAATCTGCTCACATATGGCATGTAGATATAAATTGTGTTTTGACACATATGGTCTAAATCACATGCCGAAACCCCAATGCCATTTAAAAACACCACATTTACGACTTTTATTGCGAGTGGCATTGGTGATTATATAGCAGCACATTTGGCATGCAAGCACAAAAAAATGATGGGCTTGTGAACCCAGACCTACGGGAAACAAGTACCGTTTTATCCCCGTTGAAACCACCACGTTTATGTGTTTTATTACCAAATGGATATAAGTGTCCATATTTACCCAAGCCTGTTTCCTTTCTACAGCTCACTGATTGTGTGAGGACATTTTTGAATCTGTGGTCATTTTAAAGTCTTTGTCTCTGACCCGTTGGCCTCAGACTTTATACGTCCACACGTGTCGGCCATGCCAAGAGCAATGGAGCTGTGGATTTCTGCAAGGGTAAATACTGCAGGAACCCACCCCTCATAATCGGGGCAGTTCTGTTGTAAACTTTTCACGAGTACAGTAGCCTCCGCACGGTCACATTTTAAGTAGGTACTAGACGTGCGACAAAGTCGTCCTCGATTCAGCAGAAAACAGACTCTGCTTGTTAAGCGTTTCGCTGCCAGATTTACAGTATTTGTAAAAAAGAACAATGTTTTTATTGCAGAGTTCTAAAAGTACATTTTGATTTGTTTTGGCATGATAAAAATATGGGCAAAATCTAAAATGCATACGTTTAACAGGTGCAGCAGCCACAAACCCAAACATTTTTGAATATAACAAAAACAGCAATATGTGTGAAGCTGCATTTGCCAGATAAAAGGTGCAACATTTATTTTATCTATTTACCGTATATACTAAAAATCACAGATTTAATCATAATTTCCAAAAACCAAAGGCTGTTTATTATTTGCTCCTGCATTTTTTGCAAAAACTAATACTGTAGAAGGTCAGAAAAGACAACAGCAGAACAGCCTTGCAGCAGTGCACAGTAACTACATTCAGTGATGTACTGTACCCTCAGAGTTTGGGCAAAGAATTTTCTCTTCCAACAACCTGAAGTTTCCACATTTTTGCCACATAGGTTTTATGTTGGCAGTCGACTGTGTGTGATGGGCAGATTATATTACACTGTGGCTTAAAAGTCAAAATTTTAAACATAAATTTTATTTTAAGCCACCACTTATACATAATACTGCTTTATTTCTAAAAAAAAATACTATGACACATTTCATTAGTTATCTATGATTGACAGGTTACTGCCGCTTGGAGTGTTTGAATTGAGGAAAATGCATGGCGGTTTCTGTAAAACTGACAATTCAAATTATGAAAAAACAATAATCTAACTAATAATAAACTGTGTATGTTGTCTGTCGGACACTTTTCCCTCCATCTCCCTCCAAGGGAGCAACAACCTCTCCTGTGGGTTTCATAGCAGTCCTACAAGCAGCTGCATCAAGGGGCAAATACATCCTCCTGAACTCAGTGTCACCTTCCCCTGGGCCCTGATACCCTGTGGGTGTTATCATCAGCATTCAGCCTTGCATGACCGCTAATGAGAAGTCTCTGCTCAGTTAAACAAATACATAAACAATCAGGCCAGAACCCAAATAAGCTCTGTACAATGTATGGGGGAGTTGAGAAGTAGGTAAAGAACCTGTAGCAACACGACGGGCTTCCTGGTGCAGAAGCATTAACACATAGTTTACAACCAACGCCTCCTGGCACATGGAAGCTATTTTACACTTTCCCTAGTGCGAGAAAACACTGGAGGAAAAGGTCTGTCTGTCAAAGCACATACATGCATGAGTGACAGCATGTGCAAGTGTGTTGTTAGGTGCACACAAGCGCATCTGTGTGTGTATTTCCACGAGAGCTTGTCCATGGGCTTCAAACTGATGTTGACCAGGCAGAAGAAAAGCCTCAAAAGTCTACATGATTGATACAGGACAGTCGAACGAGCTATGCCATGTTAGTCATTTAGAGACACGGCGTCCCCTAGCCATCATCATCAGGAGGCTCGACTCTTCTATTTGTGCAGAAAAAACAAGATGGTTTGGTGTTGTATAAAGCAGGAGGGGAGCAGGAGGGGAGAAAATGTAGTTAGGGGTCATTTCTCCCTTCCTCCTGTTGACCATCGCTGCAGCACAAAAAAGACACGCCTAAAATAATGACATGGAAAAAGGCAAAATGCTCAGTCGAAAAATAGTCAAAAGGACGACCAGCTTGAACCAAAGAGAGCCCTCGAGCTGTGGTCAATTAGTCATCAGTAAGGTGATCCTGAGCCTCCACTCCTACCAAGATCAGCTCCATATGCAGTCACTGCTGCAAACTCTATCCTTCAGTTACTAAAACATAAATAGCTTTGATTGTTATTGTTGGGTTGGCCCGGTAGCAATGGCGTATTCTCTGCTCTGTAATGAGAAGAGCCAGAGTGACGTGTGTCCATATCGAGTAATTGCCCTTACCAATGCACGCCCTGCCAGGTAGACACATTAAGTATGTGATGACAAATGGCTCACACCTCACACAGAGCGGAAAAGAAAGGAGATTTCTGGCTCCCCTCCTGTATGAGAGCGAATGTTTATTGGAGAGAATGAAACAGGAGGAATCAGTCCAGGGAACTGTCAGCGCACAGTAGTGCCATGAAACCTCAGCAGATAAGAGGAGTAAGGCAAGCTGGATGTTTGATGTCTCACCATGCTAACTTGGCTGGGACTGTTCACAAAGAGATTTTGGCGAGCCAGGGCTTTGTGGGGAAATTAGCTAAAGCTTAGTGGGGCGAAGGCCCTCTGGCTGATGGTCCAGATGAATGGACGGATAGCTAGATGACATGATGGAAGCTGGCCGGCTCGGCCTGCCCGTGTATGAATTGCGAGGGTTCTGACTAGGTGTCTTGGCAGGGCTTGTTTCAGTCTTCTGCTGGAGGGCAGGATATGAATAGCTTGTCTAGTTAGTGCCACGCTTAAACAAAATGTTCCTAGGACCTTTTAAACTCAGCCATGGCCACAAGAAAAGCCATTACACTGATCCTACAACCACGCAGCTCCATTTCAAACACCCGCAGCTCGCAGCCCGTAGCGACCGCTCCAAACAGCCCCACGAAACAAAGTGAACGCTTTAGCATTTGACAAACATTATTTCACCCACCAAATTGAGAATGACAAGGGAAAACAAGCATTAGCCGCCTGTGCAGAAAGGCTGACGTGTTTTGACATGATGTCACTTAACAGCAGAAGTGTAACAGCGACAATAAACTCCTGCCGAGTGCTGTGTTGACTGGTATGTTTGGAGGTATAAATACATGTGTAGTGGAAACACATGCCGGCCGTCTTCACACCAGATGTCAACCGCAGAAAAACCAAATACAAAGTGGGAAAGGGCCTCCCGGACATTAAAATACAATTACCACAAATCATATCTGGTGTTGGAGTGTGTCATTTCATCTTACCTCATTCACGTGGCATA